GAACGGTGGACGATAATTGAGAAAGTACTGTTGAGATTGAGCGCTGAGATAGGAGTGAAGAAGAGAGGGTGAGGAGGGGGAGACGGGTGAGGAGGGGGAGACGGGTGAGGAGGGGGAGAGGAAGTGGAAATGAGAGATCAAAGTGTCTGAAAGTGCTGGTGGAAAGAAAAGGTGAAAACACAAGGGATGTGTGTGTGTGTGTGTGTGTGAGTGAGGGATTAGCGTTAGCCCGTGGCTCTGCTGTGAGTCTGTATATTGTAACAGTCGAGCTCTAACCCTAATTACAGGATGGTTATTTTAATGGTTATTTTTCCTTTCCATTATAATGATTTCCTCTTCAGTGACGAGGAGAACTCTAATTATGAAAACTTCAATCATCAGATGTCAGGACTGACCATGAGGTCATACTACACCTCAGTACTCAACAGTACTGCACGGGTACGTGTCCATATTATAGTTGTATCACCCCCCCCCCCACTCCCCCCGAGGACAACAGGAAGGAGGGAAAGTGAACTAGTTACCACTGCACACAACCAAATGTGACCTCTGTTGTTAACCCATCACCACAGCCAGCAGGGGGCAGCTTTGGGCGCCCGTGGAGCAGTGTGTGGGGACGGTGCCTTGCTCAGTGGTAACTTGTCAGCTCCTACTGAACCCTCCTTCAGTGTCGTCTACTGTGTATTTACTGCAGAGAATATTTGTCAGAGGTTTGACACGCTGAGAATCATGACATGTCCCTAAAGAGAGAGGGCGCCAGAGGAGGTGAGACCAAGGTGGTGGTGGGGGTGGGGGGTGGACAGCAGTAAGGTCGGAGAGAGAGAGAGAGAGAGAGAGAGAGAGAGAGAGAGACCAGGTGTTTACAGAGGTTCATGTGTGAAAATGGATGGAGCTGAGTCAGCAGCACCAAGAACACATGCTGATTTAATATTAGACACAGAAGTAGTGCAGTCACACACACACACACACACACACACACACACACACACACTCTCTGACCTCCCAGCTTAATGTTGTACTTGTTCAGTGTCATCAACGGTGACTAAATGTTGGTGCTAATGGTTTTTCTATGCAGTAATACGATAATGTACCAGTACTACAGTACACCCTACTGTACTGTACCAGTACTACAGTACACCCTACAGTACTGTACCAGTACTACAGTACACCCTACAGTACTGTACCAGTACTACAGTACACCCTACAGTACTGTACCAGTACTACAGTACACCCTACTGTACTGTACCAGTACTACAGTACACCCTACAGTACTGTACCAGTACTACAGTACACCCTACTGTACTGTACCAGTACTACAGTACACCCTACTGTACTGTACCAGTACTACAGTACACCCTAC